CCACGGGGCCGCTGGCACAGAATTTTAAGATGCCATTTCCTCTCTCACTATTTCTTTGTTGCCTTTGAGATCTTTTGTTTTTGTGATTGTGTTTTTCCCTGTTGGTCTTTGTTCTTCTCAGTCCATCCCTGTACCCTCACCACAGCCTGGCCTGGGTGTGGGCCACCTTCCTCTGTCTGTTTCTCCTACAGACTGTGTACAGTGCCCTGGGCCTGAGAGATGCCTGCCGCTCCCTGCCCCAGTCTATCCAGCTCTTTCGGGACATTTCCCAAGAGTTCTCTGATGACTTGCACCACATTGCCAGCCTCATTGGGAAAGTGGTGAGTGGAAGGAAAGAGGCAGAGCACCTGGAGAACTAGGGGAGAGAGATCGAGAGGGACTGGGCTCTGGGGGATGTGGTGTGGAAGATGGGGAACCATGGGAGACACTGAGGTCAGTTGGATGACTAAAGATGGAATGGTGAAAGCAGGTGGCAGAACACCAGGGATGTGCTTGGAGGGTTAGGGTTAATGCAGGGATTGCAGGGAGAATTGGGGCCCAAGTAGAGGTGAGGAACAGGACCAAGAGATAGTGCTGGGTGATAAGCAACTGGACTTCTTGTCTCCTCAGGTGGACTTTGAGGGCAGTCTTGCTGAAAATCGCTTCACAGTCCTTCCCAACATAGATCCTGAAATTGATGAGAGTGAGTGTTGAGTGTGCAGATGGGCCTGTGAGCCCCGAAACATGAGCCTGCCTAGTGATGGGGTACCATCCTTGGTAGGTGGTCACTACAAGTGAGGATAATCATAGCAATCAGGGGAGGAGCAATCATTACTTTTGATATCAACATGTCTTCTACCCTCCTAGAAAAACGAAGGCTGATGGGGCTTCCCGGTTTCCTCACTGAGGTGGCTCGGAAGGAGCTGGAGAATCTGGACTCCCGTATTCCGTCATGCAGTGTCATCTACATCCCTCTGGTGAGGGCATGAGGGTGGGTGTAACCTCCAGAGGTTTTTAGGAGAGGTATTAGGCTTATGAAGAACACAATGGTAGATAAGAGAACTTCTGGAGAAGTCTGAAGAACTCGGTGGCTGTTTTGGTGGCTTTGGCCCCCTGAGGGAAGCCCGGGGGGATACAGGGGTCTCTGGCTTCCTTGAGGGAGAGAAAGTGCCCAGTATGTTACTCTCTGCTTTATCTCCTTTTTACTTTCCCCAGATCGGCTTCCTTCTTTCTATTCCCCGCCTGCCTTCCATGTTGGAGGCCAGTGACTTTGAGATCGAGGGACTGGACTTCATGGTAAGACCTTCGACCTCTGCAGGGGAGTGATAAGGAAAATGAATCAGCAGCTGAGGGAGGGTCTTACCCTGTCAGCACTGCCCAATATGGGATCTTTCTCCTGTAGTTTTACTTTGATCTTTACCAGCTCTGAGACAGAGGAGAAAGAAGTCAGGGTGGGGGCTGGAGGTGGGGTCAGAAAGGTTGGAGAGGATGAGGACCAAGAGATGCAAAGCCCACAACTTGAACCTTGTACCTAGTTTCTCTCAGAGGAGAAGCTGCACTATCGTAGTGCTCGAACCAAGGAGCTGGATGCATTGCTGGGGGACCTGCACTGCGACATCCGGGGTGAGAAGCAAAAGGCTGGAGGGGAGCGAGCAGCTTGGAGGTGATTCCGACAGGCTCCTTTTCTTCCTGGTTCTCTACTCTGACTCTCCATCTTCTCTGAATGTCTCTGGGTGTCTCAGATTGTATCTGCAAGCCTGTTTCCAGGTCCCTCTGCTGGCGTCTCTGTCTCTCCTTCACTTTCCCCTGAAGCTGACCCCCAGCTCCCTCCCTCACCTACCCCCAGACCAAGAGACCCTGCTGATGTATCAGCTGCAGTGTCAGGTGCTGGCACGGGCAGCTGTCTTGACCCGAGTGTTGGACCTTGCCTCCCGCCTGGACGTCCTGCTGTCTCTTGCCAGTGCTGCCCAAGACTATGGTTACTCAAGGCCCTGTTACTCCCCACGACTCCTTGGGGTACGAATCCAGAATGGCAGGTGAGAACAGAAGCGGGTGGAGGCATAGATACAAGGGGCCTGAAGTCCCCATCTTCTGGGGGGTTCATCCATCTGGATCCATAGGCTATGTGCGAGGTACCTCTCCACTGCAGACATCCTCTGATGGAACTCTGTGCCCGAACCTTCGTGCCTAACTCCACAGAATGCGGTGGGGACAAAGGGAGGGTCAAAGTCATCACTGGACCTAACTCCTCAGGGAAGAGCATATACCTCAAACAGGTGAGGAGAATCCCTACAAACTAGGCCTCTGGAGTCTTCTTCATTGTCTCCATCCCCCACCTGCCAGCCAACCCAGCTCCCTACAGTTCTTCTCCCCACTGTGTTCTGACCCCACCTGTCATGAGAAGACCAAAGCCCACACACCCTGATCCTCTACCTCACATGTTCTCATTCTCTACTTGAGGGAGAGCCATGCACTAATAGATCTTTCCGTAAGCCTGAATTCCCTTCCTCCACCTCTGAATAGGTTCATGCCATTCTCAAGTGTGCCTCTGTCCACTCCCCATCCTTCTTTACTGATTCTAAATGAGCAGAAGGGGCTATGATCTTCTATTAAACTGTGTCCATCCCTCCTTGATCTATCATTCACCCCTCAGTTTAGCCTCACCTTCACCTTGGCCTACACCACCATGCCCCAGGCCCTGTCTCCTCCCCTATTCAGGTAGGCTTGATCACATTCATGGCCCTGGTGGGCAGCTTTGTGCCAGCAGAGGAAGCCGAAATCGGGGCAGTAGACGCCATCTTCACCCGAATTCATAGCTGCGAATCCATCTCCCTTGGCCTCTCCACCTTCATGATCGACCTCAACCAGGTCAAAGGGAGCGCAGGGAGGTGGGGTTGGGGGAGGGGCATAATGGGGAAGGAACTCTACCCCTGAAACATTCCTTCTGCCACATGCCCTCTACTGTAGGGGCAGGGAGCACCCAGAGAATCTCCGGGTCTCAGAGACCCGGAGAATCAATAATGTGAACCTTTATTGAACCCTCACTTTGTGCGAGGCATTGTTTGCAATGAAAGGATGAACACAACATGTGCCTCGCCATTAAAGAACTTGCAGTCCAAGGCTGGCCCTGTGGCATAGTGGTTAAGTTTGGCGTGCTCCGCTTTGGTGGCCTGGATTCGCGTATTCATATCCCAGGCACGGACCTACACCACTTGTCAGCCATGCTGTGGTGGCGACCCACATACAAGATGGAGGAAGACTGGCATGGATGTTAGGTCAGGGCTAATCTTCCTCGAGCCAAAAAAAAAAAAACAACTTGCAGTCCAGTAGAGTGGACACATATACAAGCAGCTTTATTCACAGGCAGACTGTGGTCAGTGCGTTACAGGTCTTGAATGCTAATGAAACTCTCCCTGTCCACCTGGTGCCCAGCAGGTGGCGAAAGCCGTGAACAATGCCACTGAGCGGTCTCTGGTCCTTATTGATGAATTCGGAAAGGGAACCAACACGGTGAGGGGAGAACCTAATGAGAAACTAAGGAGGGGAAAATGGAGGAGGATGAAGGAGGATGCGGGTGAGGCTGGGCCTCAGGAAAAGAATAGGGGTGTGTGGGCAGAAAAGCAACAGAGTAGGAGATGGGGAGAGGCCAGGGCAGGTGGAGCGGGGCACATGGGGCACCCACGGTTCCACACCCTCACCCTTGCCCCTGCACAGGTGGATGGGCTTGCACTTCTGGCTGCTGTGCTCCGACACTGGCTAGCGCTTGGACCCACATGCCCCCACATCTTTGTGGCCACCAACTTTCTGAGCCTCGTTCAGCTACAGCTGCTGCCACAGGGGCCCCTTGTGCAGTATTTGGTGAGGAAACCAATCTAGCCCCCTAAAGGCCCCTAGACTGAGTGTTTCCCAGAGCAGCAGGGGACAGGCTCCTCCATCAGAACAGGGGCTCCCTGAGCATAGGGACCATGTCCCTTTTCTTTTCTCACTCCTCAAAAGGATTGGCCAAGGGTTGTGGAACAGGAAGCAGAGTGATTGATGACACACTATCTCCTTTTATTCTTTTTTAAGACCATGGAGACCTGTGAGGATGGGAACGACCTTGTCTTCTTCTATCAGGTTTGCGAAGGTGTTGCCACTGCCAGCCATGCCTCCCACACAGCTGCCCAGGCCGGGCTTCCTGACAAACTCATTGCTCGTGGCAAGGAGGTTAGATCCGGACATCAACCACTTCCATCAGGGCTCCCTTCCACTGTCCCTGCTCCTCTCTAGGTCCTGGGTTTCTGGGCCCATAGGATTTCTGACCCTTATTTCCTCTTCTCTTACCCAACTCCCCCCACCCCTTCCACCTTCTTTCTTGTTCCTAGGTCTCAGACTTGATCTGCAGTGGAAAATCCATCAAGCCTGTCAAGGAGTTGCTAAAGGAGAAGCAAATGGAAAAGTGAGTATGTGGTCCAGGGTCCTTGTTCTCTCTAGCATCTTCTGCAGCTCTTCTCCCCCTTTCAGGGACTCAGACAGCCTCTTTGCCTTTCAAAGACCCATGATTTCTTTCTGAAATCTATAAATTTTCAAGGTCCTGCGTGTCTTGTGTCACAGCCTCTCCCCTCTGCTCAGGGACTCAGTTATCCATTCTCCCATAAATCTCACTGTTCTCTCTCCCCTCAGTTGCCATATATTAGTAGATAAATTTCTGAAACTGGATTTGGAAGATCCCAACCTGGACCTGGACATTTTCATGAGTCGGGAAGTGCTGCCTGCTGCCACCACCATCCTCTGAGAGTCCTTCCTCAGCTCTCCTCCAATTCCCAAACCCTAGTGGGCTGCACATGCCCTCTTTGTTTCCTTATCTCCTTCAGACCCAGAGTTCTCAGTCTCCCTGAAAATTTTGTTTCATATTAGGAATAAAGTTTATTTTGAGAAAGTTACTGTTTCCTTAGACCAGCCAAAACAAAACAAGAGAATAGGAAAGAGATGAAACACCAAGCAGGAGTCCACAAAGGGACTGTCCTTGCCTCATTAAAAATACAGTGACACTGCTGTAGGGAGACCCTCCGATTCTACCCAGGGGGACTTCATGAGAACCAACCACTTCAACAGACCCTACAGAAACAGATGAGAGGGAAGACAACGGAGCCCAAGGGAGATGGTCGCCTTAAGTAGGAACACCCCAGCCTCAGACAGACACAGTAGGAAGGGCTCTGAGAGGCTGAAAGACTAGGTGGGATGGGTACAAGGCAGAGGGAAGGGGGAGGGACCAGCCCAGTGCACCAGTGGGCGTGGCTCCACCCTTCCCACCTCACAGCCATGGGGAGCCGGGGTGCTCACAGGCTGCCCCTGGTGCAGGCCCCCTACACAGTTCTGCTGCTGCCACTGGGGACAAGCCGCCAAGACCCGGGGGCTCGGAGCTTCTTCCTCTGGGTGAGTATTAGTCCAACAAGAGGTCCCAGGGGAAGCCCCTCTCCCTAGATCTGCCCTCTACATTTCTACTCAATTTTGAGAACTTGTAAGTCTTTTCCCTTGCTTCCCCTTACCCTCCAGGTCCTCAGTGACCAGTCTGGGCTCACACTCAGTGATCAGTGAACCGAATCAGGGTTTGAGACAAAGGGCCATGGCCCAGAACCCTGCTGTAGAGCCAGTCAGCCTTGGCTTCTTGCCTTTTCCAGCTGCAGAGGATGCAGGCTCTGGAGAGGGAGCAGGATGCCCTGTGGCAGGGGCTAGAGCTATTGGAGCATGGCCAGGCCTGGTTTGAGCGCCGTCTGAGGGAGGCACAGCAACAGCAACTGCATCTGGGGGCCCTTGGTGAGGTACGGGGCTGCCCCATGGTATGTGGGGTGGGGAGAGCTGGGAACATGTGGACACAGCCTGAGACCACCCTGGGAAGGCGAGAGTTAATGGACAGGGATCATGAATTGGAAGCAGTGTTGTAATGATGGGATGCCACCAAGTGTTAGGTTGGTGTTCATTGTTGGGATTGGAGGAGGCTGGTCTGCATTCCATTCAGAGGGACATGATTTGGATCACTCTATTGAGATGGGGGAGTGGCCTGGATTATTCCACTGGGTCAGGGATGGACAGGGAGGATCCATATAGAATAGGAAAAGGGGAGACTATGCTATTTGAGGGGGATGGAGGAACTGGACTGTTAAGAGATGCAGTATTGGATTTTTCCACCTGCCTGGAGGGGTATTGGGATGAAGGGATCCAGATGGAGGAGAGGAATGGCCTGTGGTGATAGAGGAGTGGCAGATGAACCTCAAGTTTTCACCATGTTGTCAGCTTCCAACTCCTCCTTTAGAATTTTTTGACAGATTTACACTCAGAGCCTGGTGGCCCCCAGTTCGCCCAGATTCAAAAGGTGAACATCTGTTTGCAGAATCTGATTCAGAGGAAGGTGAGTTTATTGTTTTTAGTTTAGACTTTTGGGAAGCAGGGGTAGAGAGGGGACTTGGGGTCAGCACTGGTTTAACAGAAAACAGTGAATTTCTCCCCAGTTCTCCCCACATCCCTTTAACAAGGCTAGTTCCTGCGCCACCAAGGACTGGAAGAGAAGGCCAAGGAAGCAGAACTTGTGGCATCAACAGGTAAACGGTAGGGGAGTGAGGGCAGGGCAGAGTGGGGGAGGGAGGAGCACAGATGCCCAGATTATTTCTCTCCCCTTCTCCAGGAGTTGTCAAGGCAGCAGAAAGGAGTCATTCAGCCAAAGAGGGAGATGGCTCAGCCAGGCTGCCCCAAGGGGCAGAGGGGCCCTACCAGGGTCTAAGGCCTCCTCTCATTCCCGTCAGTTGGTGACAGAAGAGGCTGAGTCAGAACCCCCAGCCTCCTTAGTCTGCTTCTTGACTCAACAGCTAAATGGCTCCAGGTGGTGGTCAAACGAAGTCGAAACATGTTGGTGTAAAGTTTCTTCTCTGCTCCTGAAAACTTCCGTTTCATCTTCTTGGTGTCTTATGCCCTCACTCTCCCTATATGATGTGCATAAATGATCTTTCTTTGAAATCCCTCTGGGGAGAAGACATGTTTATTGAAACAGTCCTTCAAGTTTAAATACAAAAATAAAATAGAAGCTTCTCCAGAATTTCAAATAAAAATAATTCTATAAATAAGAATTCGTGGTACCCTCCTACCCTACTCCCAACTTTAGTCTCCACCCCATATATCTTCCTCTCTCCCTGAGCTTGGGAGACCATGAATAAGTAATGGAATAAAGATGCTACAGAGAAATAGCAACTTTCTCCAAAAGTGAGTCTTTGGTTTGGTTCCCACAAGTGTTAGGGAAAGTGCATTGTGGGAAAATCCATTGCCCTCTATCCCAATCTCTCTAAGAAAGAGAAGGGACAGTGCATGAGAAGGAAAGCCTCCATCCCAGCTGGGAGAGGTAGGGTCTGGAGGCCCATGTTACTTTCTCACCAATGGGGCAAGATTGAATATAGCGCTGGAGGCCTATCCCTCTAGGGGCTGTTATGGCACCAGGAAGACAGGCCTAGCAGGAGCAGTACCCCTCCAACTGTGCCCCACCGGGGGTGGCCTGCCAGCCCTCCCCCAGCCATGCCCCGAGTCACCAAAGTGGAGGGAAGAAAGTCAGGGCTGGCCGTGATGAGGACTGGGCCAGACGAGTGGGCAGGGGCAGCGAGCTGGTCCTGGGGAGAAGAAAGAGACTGTCATGGTGCCTGCACCCAAATTAAGCCTACAGGGCCCTCCCCTTGCCCTGCCAACCCTGCGATGGAAAGTGGGGTCGCCTCACCTGCGGGGCCAGGGCCAGCACCAGGAGACGGAGGAAGGCGTGGGTCGGGGGCACTAGGCTGGCTTCTCGACCCATCGCAGTCACAGTCACCGTCACCACGGAGTCCAGGGCGGCTGAGTCTGGGACCTCCAGCCACAGGCGCCCCCAGGCGGACTCGTTGTGTTCCAGGTGAACCCTGGAGAGTGGATACAGACCTCCGGCTGAAGCCTCAGGCTCTGAAGAGCCGAGAGCCAAGGGGCGGAGCCAAGCACCGGGTTGGGGGGGGTGCGGTGGGAGGCAAAAATGTGAGGGCCAATCGGAAGGGGCCAGAGGCCGGGCTTAAGGAGCATATACTAGATCCCACACCCCGAGAACAGACAGGTCGGGGCAGAAGGGAGCAGGAGGGTTCAGGGGCTTCACCTGGAGAGGTTGGAGGTGAGAGCGAAGCTGGGGTTGACGAATGTCCTAAGATCGAGATCCTGAGGGCCCGAGAAACTGGCGATACGGAGGCTGAGCGGGGCCTGCGTGCCCGGGGCCAGGAACCCCGGGGGGCCACTGAGCTGCGGAGGAGGGCGGGTTAGGGGAGGAGCCGCTCCTGTTCTCTTCAGCCCCAGCCGCACCTTCCCCTTGCATCTCACCTCCAGAAGGACAGGGACCACAGAGCAGGGCTGGGGGGCCGCCCGGTGCAGGACCCGTCCCCCTCCGTCCTGGCCAATCAGCTCCAGAGAGAAGGGTCCCGCGGTGGACAGAAGCGTAGGCGATAGCGAGGCACCCAAAAGACCTCGCTCCCGAGGTCCCATGGGCTCCAAAGGCACCCTGCCCAGCTCGGCACCCTTCGGGACGTCTCGAAGGACGACGTGGGAGAAATGCGGCAGAGGATCTCCAGGGTCGCCTCTGGAGCCTAGCCCCGTCACTTCTACAAGCAGCTGGGTCTGGAGACCTGGGACAGGAGAGAGGAGGGGACAACAGTGGTCTGCGTTCTGGGTCCGAGAGAAAAGAATGAACAGCTTTCGGAATAGCAGTTACCTCTGAGGAGTATGGATGGAGCAAAGGGGTTACCTCTGAGGGGTAGTGATGGGGAGGGTCAGAAGGGAGTTCTGGGATGCTGGAAATGTTCTAAATCTTGAACTGAGTGATGGTTACATGGTTATATTATATGAAATCCAACCAGCTGTACACTTAAGTTTAGTGCACTTTATTATATGTAAGTTATAACTCAATAAAAAGTTAAATATATGTAGAATTATATATACATATATATAATGAACAGGTTAGGGGTGGGGGATAGATGTACCTGCAACTGGCTGAGTCAGGGGGTAGAGGCCAGGGTGGGGTCCATCCTCTATAGGGATCCCAAAGTGGAAGAGGAAGTCCAGGGAGGTCTGGGCTAAAGAGGTCAAAGGCAGTCAGAGACCTTCCTGAGATGAATGTGACTGATATTGCTCTCTGAACTCTGCAGTCTCCCCTTCCTTTCCCAGGAATATCTCCCTCCTTACCTTGCACTCTCACCCGTGGGGTGCCCTTGGCTGTGACCTGGATATCCCAGGTCCCTTTCTGTAGGGGGTCATTCATGGTCACCATCCAGAACTGCCCAAAGCGGCGAGTGTGACCTAGAGGCCCCTCGCCTTCCTTCTGGTCCTGGCAGACCCCTGGGTGGGGGTGGGAGGCAAGAGATTGTCACATAAGAATTCCTTTCCCTTAGTACATTACCCCTCATTCTCCAGTCCCCACTGTCCATACTTCCCTCTGCCTTGAGACACACACATGGAAGTACCTGCAGGGTTCCTGATGCAGAAACTGCTGACCTCCCCATGGATCCGGACTGTGACCCTCTGGAGCAGCCCATCCACACTGAACACAAGTGGCCTCCCAGGCACCACAACAGGAGGTTCCAGAGGAAGGGTCACCTTGAGGGAAGGGCAGGACCAAAAAATAGGGGAGAAGATGAGGTATGGAATGAGGTGGGAACAAAAATAGGAGACAGGTGGAGACAGAAAGAAACTAAGCCTCCACACATGGAGAAGGGATACCAGTGAGAGAGGGAGCACCAAGGATGAAGTTATGGTCAGTGACAAAGTTGGAGGTAAGGGATTAAGGAAGGATAAGGCAATCACTTCTTGTCCCCCCTTAAAAGATGGCAGGACTTCCTGTGGTAGCCCCAAGGACAGAATACTGGAGGCCAACATAAGGGGGGAGGGAACTACTAATATGGAAGGAGCAATGTGGAAGGTGAATAGCCATGCATCTCAGAGGAAGATTCCCACCCTTCTGCCTGGAATGGCAACACAGTAATAGGAGCCCTTCCCTTTCTCCTATGAGAAAGAGAAATGCAGTGTCATCCCCTGAGCTGAGAGCCCTGGTCCCTCTGGCCGCCCCACTTACCACGTCAGCCATGCTGTCCCCAATAATGGCTGCCACATCCCTAATGTGCTGGTCTTTGGTGAAGATCACCTCTCCTCCTGAGGCCAGGGCCACAGCTTCATATGGCTCAAAACGCAGAGGGGACAAGACCTCACGCCGAGCTCGGTGCTGAACTCTCGATGGGTCTTCAGTCACCAGGAACGTAACCTGTGCCCGGAAGAGATGCTGGTACTTGAGGTGTCCAAGTGCATCCACCATCATAAACGAGGCTCTCCTTTGCTCAAGCTTTCTATCGAGCTGATGATTAGTGGTAAGGTCTCTGTCTACCCTCTGGCTGCTACTGCAAGGTCTCCCAGAGACACAACCCCTGGCCCTCAGTTAGTAGTTGTCATTACCTTGTAACTGTCATCATATGTCATCCACATAGTGGTTTATTGGCAACGACATCTCCAGTTCTTCAAATGGTTTATTGGGGGCAGGTTCAAATACAAATTTAGCATCATTAAGGGTAGAGCCTCCCACTCTTTAGTATTGTTAAAGGGATCGGGAAATATTATACTCATTGTCCACCTCTCCCACCCCACGCCAAGACTGGTTCAACCACCATAGTGTGGTGTGATCCTTGTTATGAGATTGTTGTCATAGGGTTTTCCACATCCCTGAGTGGCTAACACTGTGTCTCCCACCAGCTATGCTCACTCTGCAGCGCCGTTCCTGAGTCAGGGATTCCACTCGGTTGGTGAGAAAGGCATCCTTAGGGGAGGCGTCAGTGAAGACAAAGATGTCTGAGAGTGGAGGTGTGTGCAGCAGGGCCAGCTGGTAGGGAGGGAAAGGGCTGATGTTAAAAATGGTGACAGCAGGGAATGAGTAAAGCAAGGGCAGGCAGAGTAGAGGGCAATATGGCCCTGGAAACCTGGAGTGAAGCTAGTGGTGGGCTAGGGGGTCCCAGGAAGGCTCTAGCTCCCCTTGGTGGTGGGGCTTGGAATGGGGGGGTAGGAGAAGGGAAGGAGTAGGGGCAGGCAGACCTCCAGGGCTGACAGGCACATCTCGGGCTCGTCTCCCCCACCCAAGGCTTGGATCTCATTGAGTTGTTGCCAGAAGCTGTCAGGGTCACTGGTTGTAAAGACAGGGCCAAACCCTGGGGAGGAAGAAAGGAGGTTGAGATGAGTGAGGAGAGGGCTCCCCTCATTCTGACCCAGGGCCACCTCCCCAGTCAAGTGGCCTGCTGTGCTCCTGGGGTAGACAAGTATTGAAATGACAATATTCCCTTATATTCATACGGGCAGGGCACCTCTGGTGGGAAAGTGGACTTCAATTCCTTAACAAAATGGCAGCACTTCCTGTGGTCCTGAGTGGACCCTTATATTGGGTACACGTGTAAGTATAAAAAACAACTGAAGCCTGTTTCCTCAACAGAAAAGCCAGAGAAATAATAGTAGTTACCTCAGAGAGTTATTGGGAGGACTAAATGAGTTAATTTTGTAAATCTTAGAATAGTGTTTTACACATAAAAAGTGCTAAATTCTTAATTATTCATTTATCCATACCTTCATCAAATATGTAATAAGCCCCTATTATATGCCAGCTACTGTGAGGTTTATTCAGACAAATCAGACTCAAACCCTGCCCTTAGGGAATTCTCAGTCCTATAGGCATTTTATTTGACCATCATTTCAACCCTCGGAGATAGAAAAGGTAAGACAAGTACTGACCTATTTTATGGATGATGAAGTTGAGGCAAAGAGAGCTTGAATGAGCAGCCTAAGTAAGACTGGTTGACCCAGGCCAGATCATCTGTCTTCCAATTCAGGGAGGAAAGGAATTCTATGTAACTAGCTGTCTCAGACACTTCGCAGAGGCCTGGATCCCCAACCTCTATCTTCACCCTAACCTCTGTCTACAGAAAATGGAGAGAACTGAGA